AATATTTTTAGTGTTCGTCGGAGAAATTCGTCACTCGCACGAATAAATTTCGAAACTTCGAAGCTTCGAATTTAACTTCGAACTTCGAAGTTTCGAAGATTCGAAGCTTCGAAGATTTTGAAACTTCGAAGTCAACTTCGAAGCTTCGAATTACTTCGAAGCTTCGAATCTTCGAATATCGAAGCCTTCGAAGGAAATCACCAGCCCTAATGTGTATGCATGTACACCACTTATAGAGATTTTCTTTATTCAATATTAATAATTCTTACTTAAAGCATTAAAATTTTTTTCTTAATCATAAAAATTTTAAATTATGACGATCAGGTCGAAACTACATGTCCCAGCAAGTAGAAAAAATTTTCAATTTACCTTTCTATCCGGAGAATAACATGGGAAAAATATTAAGATGTTTCTCCGTATACAGCAATACAAAAAACATATTTAATACAAAATTAGAAGCCGGTACAATACCAGTCATTCATGGCTTAAAAGTTTTAAGCATGTATTGCTTAATCGTGTTGCACACCCTATATTTTTCATGGGATACTCTCGGTAAGTAACTTAAACTGTATCTGTAAAATAAATTTCTCTGGTGTTTTTTACACGCATAACAAAGATTGTTGATGTTCACAGACAATAAAGTAGAAGTATGGAGATTCCTCGAAGATCATATGTATTTAATGGACATAGCAGTTCTAGGAGTCGAAGTATTCTTTTTGTCAAGTGGCTGTTTTATAACGTATTCATATTTGCGACAACAACCGAGCGCAAAAAAGGAGCTTCAAAATTACAGACAGAAGATAATATATCTTCTCACACATACAACAAAAAGATTTATAAGGTATGTTATCGTGATTATTGCAGACAGCAATAAAAGCAATTCGATAATAAATAACAGTATCCAGTAAAGAGTTAAAAGATAATAATAAATAGTTCTTCGATAGTGTATAGTACATTTCATCTGGCATGTCGTGAATAGCGTTAAAATGGCAATTATTTCACGAACACAATAACAATATGACAGATATTAACAATAAATGTGATTAGTGGAAAGATGTGAAAATATTATAAATAATTTTTATCTTAATTTTTTGAAAATATGAAAAATCAAGAAAGAAATGTTTGCAGAGTTCCGTGCTTTGGTATTTTCTCTTATTATTGTACGCACCGAAATAATTTTTTATTTTCCACACATTTATAATAAAATTTTGTTAAGGTTGACGCCGGCTTACATGATAGTGATTGGACTATCACAATTAAGTTCTGATTGGTTCGATAAGACATCGCAATTTTACATGTATGAGAGGTCGCACGAAACTTGTCCAAAGCACTGGTGGATAAATCTTTTGTACATAAATAATCTTTTTCCTCTTGATGACATGGTACGTACATATTTGGATCAGCTAAAAATTATGTTTAGAGGCGCATAAAAGTTTCATTCTACATATAATTTTTACTGCAGTGCCTGAGTTGGAGCTGGTATCTAGCTAATGATATGCAATTTTACATACTCGCTACCATGCTGTTGATTTTTTCGACTGTGTAAGTTAATCAAATACGGATGATTTTATAACTAGTACTTTGTGTATATGTTAATAAATATATATTATAAATTTCAGATACTTTTACGTTGCTGTTACGATATTGAGTGTACTTTTAATAGGCTCTACTATTCTTAGCGGTTATATTTCATACGTTCACAAATATACTCTGATGTAAGTTATCAAAATAATATGTTTATTATGAAATTAAGTAAGAGGATCATTTTCTCACTGTTGCAGGTTAACTGAACTTGCTGAACTTATACATGTGATATATACACCACCATGGATGAGAATAAATCCATATATTATTGGAATGATTGTAGGTTACGTTTTAGCAAAATTGAACAATACTTTGGTCTTGAAAAGGGTAAAATATTAATTTTACTTTTATTGTATATACAGATCTGTATCAATCAACTATATGTCATAGCATAAATAAAAATGTATTATAATAATTTTACATATGTATATTTCAGAAAATTATAATGTTGTGTTGGTTGCTTGCTAGTGTTTGCATTATTGGTGTATTATTTGTGTTTTACAAGCAACGCCCATCCGTTCTGGCTAGTGCTATTTATGCAGCACTACACAAAATAATTTGGGCTATAGGTATAGCATGGATTGTAATAGCGTGTTCCACTAACCACGGAGGTCCGTTTTTTTTTATTATGTATACATTCTTATTAAATTGTTACACTTTTAAGATAATAGTGATATTTTATATTTTAAGTTTCGTCATCGTTTCAAAACATGTCATTTTATTTATTGTATGCTCGGTTTTGTTCTAGGAATCGTTAATCAGTTACTATCGTTCAAAGGCTGGATCCCTTTCAGTAGGCTCACGTACTGTGCTTATCTTTTAAATCCAATCATTATACGGTCAATAAATTTCTACAGCGATACTTCAACGCATTTTGAATGTCTGTCTTTGGTAAGTATACGGATACAACAAATCCAAAATATAAATAGAAAATTTATCAATTTTGTTAAATATTTGTTCCCAGGTTATTTTGAGTGTGGCATATACGGCAATCATTTATTGTTGTTCTTACATACTGTCTTTGACGGTGGAGATACCCTGTATCTTGTTAATGAGAGAGTATGCTCCCTGGCGTAAGAACATATTACAAAGTGTTCAAATTAGGAGCCAAAAGCTACAATGACGTCACATTTCGAACACTTTGTAATATTTTCTTACGCCATGGAGCATACTCTCTCATTAAATATTCGGTATGCACACAATAACACAAAATTCTTGTAAAATAAAATCTGTATCTATTGTGTATATTTATCAAAGTTTTTAATACCTAATCATCGAATCATATAATACTTCTACAGTTTATTTTATCTCATTTAATTTATGTATGTAATTGCAACGAAAGAGATTGTTAATAAATTTATTATTTCTGTTTACTAGTCATATTCCAACTTATAGACCTACCTATTCATTTTCTACCTACTCATGTTTCAACATAATTGCGCCAGTGGGATTTAATAGGGGTTTCAATCTCGCACATATGCGAGAATATGTATGTATATAGAAGCATATACATATAACCCACCCGAATTGTAACCAATAAAAAGAAATCAAAGTATACTTCGTACACCCTGCCGAAAATGGTCGATTAAAACCGATTAAGACAAAAAGTAATCCAAATTGATCGGGATTTCTGCACCGAAAATACGGTATTAAAACCGATTGAAAATATAACCTCTGTGAAGCTAGCACCCCCACCACCAAAAAAATAACTTTAGTCTACGGCATAATTAAGTGCTAATTTTGTGCTAATTTGTTGCTCTAGTTTCGAATTTTGTGCTCCTACCCATCCGCAGGAAATTAATAGCAAAAGTGGGGGTGCTGGCTTCACGTTAAGCTAGCACCCACATACCTGAAAAACACGTATAAAATAGCGTAAACAAAAAAATTGATATACCAGAATTTTGTGCTAATTTTGTGCTTTTAAGATATCCATATCCGGAATTTGGTGCTCCTTGTTTAATATTTAAAAAAACGCATAAAGAGTTCGGCGGTACTAATGTCCGACAAGAGTAAAGTACATTAAAGAAATTAGTTGCTGGGTCGTTGTGCGTACCAAAATAACGATAAAATTATGTGCTTCTAAGATATGCATATCCGGAATTTGGTGCTCCTTGTTTAATATTTAAAAAAAACCCATAAAGAGTGTGGCGGAGCTGGCGTCACGACAAGAGTAAAGTACGTTAAAGAACTTAGTTGCTGGGTCGTTGTGCATACTAAAATAACGGTAAAATTATGTGCTTCTAAGATATGCATATCCGGAATTTGGTGCTCCTTGTTTAAGGATGTATTACGTATACCTTCCCAGCAAACAATACAGTTATAATCTTAAAAATTCAATATATGTATATCGGTTGTATGCATACTTTAACGGCTGGCTATTATTGAATATTATAACAAAGATGTTAATTTTACTGATTTAAATAACTTCAACCTCTTTTTATAATTATTGACAGCGTATTTATAAATATTCTTAATAGCGGTTAAAAACTTTTGGCTGGGAATTTGCCATGAATCCAACTGCTAAAAACAAAAATCTGACATATACAGGGTGTCTGATGCAAAAGTAGCAATTTTGGAAATAGCGGTAGATTGGGTTAAACTAAGGAGAAATATCATGTACCGAGGTACAAAGTAACAATAGTTATCGACATATAAATTTATACGTTTGAGCGAATGAGGATGCAGGAGATGGTAGGCCGGACTCGGAAGGCACATGAAGAATAGAGATAAGGAGACCGAACTGACACGGAAAAATGTTCGAGAAACACGGCCAAATTGGTCGCTGGACTCTAATTTACTAATGCTCCGCTAGATGGCGCCTCCGTTTGACGGAACCCACACGTACACGCACCGGCGGCTATGTAGTGTGTGGAAGCAGACGAGACCGGCAACAGCGCACAAACCATGCACGATTTTAACTCTCCCCACCACGCTCCACCCTGCAATCTCTCCTCCTCCTCAACTCTAAGCCAATAGCCATCGGGTACCTTCAGATTGCAGTGCCATCTATTGGTACCTAAAGATACAACCATCGGGGATCGGTTTTGGTCGCGTGTCCCGAACATACAGTTCGGT